TGATAGGGGCTGAGGCGGTGGTGATGGGGACGAGGGTAGGTTTTTAGCCTGTTTTGGTATTGCGTTTTGTTGGTTGAGGGGTGGTGCTGACTTGAGTTGCATAGTTTATTGCTGCGGAAGAGGCGTGGACGCCGGAGTTTCGCAAGAAGCTTATCCTTGAGGCGACGGATGGCGGACCATCCACTGTCAAGTAAGTCACCTAAATCCACCAGCCCACCAGGTTAAGTTGGCTAAGAATACGTAGGACTCCCCTCCTCGACGACATCCAGAGCACAGCCATCTGGCCCGATGTCTACGATGGCAGAGGGTTGATCGGAAAGTCCTGGCAGGACCATGTCGCGGGCGTGTCCCTCGAAGAGAACATACGGCTGTTCAAGGAGGCGGACAGCATCGGGGACACGTCCAGGAAGATCACCTGGGTGTACGTAGCCCCAAACGCCCCTGACTCTGTTGCTAACACTTCCCAGGGGCACCGGGGTTGGTTTGGTCAGAGAGATTCGACCTGCGGGCGAGATCGTGAGGGACGCGAGGGAAGATGCTCTGAAGAGGATCAAAAGACTGCAGTCTGCGATCTAACGTGCCTTGAAATATTACGCAGGAAATGCAATATCTATCCGTTGTTAGAAACCCATAACTCTTTTGAATCATCGCCACCGTCTACAAATCCTCCCTTTCCTTTTCCCTCTCCCCAGCCTCCGCCTCTCTCGCATACACCCTCTTCCCCCCAACCCACGTCTCCCTCACCCTCAAACTCCTCAACTCCTCCTTCCCAACGCCCATAATATCCTCATCCAGCACAATCCAGTCCGCAAACGCCCCCTCCCGAATAACCCCCGCCTTCCCATCCAGAAACGCCCCCCTCGCCACGCTCCTCGTAAACCCATCCAGCGCCTGCTTCACCGTCAACGCCTCCTGGAGATGCCAACCCCCCTCATACCCCGGCGGCCCGGTCCCCGTGCGCGGGCTCTTCCTCGTCACGGCGGCGTAGATGCCCTCGAAGGGGTTCGGCGGCTCGACGGGGAAGTCGCTGCCGAGGATGGGACTGACGTCCAGCAGCGAGCGCATGCGGTAGGCCTCGGTGCGCGTGCGCTCGTCACCCAGGCGCAGCGCGGCGTAGGCCATGTCCGAGGTGGCGTGCGTGGGCTGGATGGAAGGGATGATGCCGAGGTCGTGCATGCGTTTCTGGTCGGCCGGGTGGATGATCTGCGAGTGCTCAATGCGGAAGCGGTGGCGGGACTGGCAGGCGGAGAGGTCGTTGTGGTCTTCGGGGCAGAGATCTCGTAGGGAGGCTTCGAGGGCGTCGATGGCGAGTCGGTTGGCCAGGTCGCCGATGGCGTGGATGTTGACTTGGAAGCCCGCGGCTGACCAGGACCGGGCGAGCGAGGTGAGCGTGGAGGCGTTGACAAGCAACGAACCTGATGTGTCTGGGCGGTCCGAGTACGGCTCGATCATGGCGCTGCCCCAGCTTCCAAGGGCGCCGTCTGTTAAGCTTAGCAAATGGGAGTAGTGATAAGGGGTTGGCTGTTCTTACCCGCAAACAACTTCACACTCCTGACCGAGAGCATACCATCGGGATGCTCCACCTTGACCGCCTCATCAGGGCAGAAGGAGTTCCGCTCGGGGCATTCCAGCATAGAATACACCCTGAGGGTCCAGTCCTCGGTCCGGCTCATCTCGTCAAACATGGCGATCTCTGCCGGCAGCGCGCCCGCATCATGCATGCCAACCAGGCCAACCTTGTGCAACTCCTTCATGGCCGATGCCACGAACGTCATCTTCCGCTCCTTGCTCGGCTTGGGCCACAGCGATATGACCAGATCCATGGCGTTGTCGCAGAATACGCCCATCCCGGGGGTCCTCACAATCTCACCCCCGGGCACCTCATCGGGGAGATCCGGCAACAAATCCAGCACCGCCTTGGACACCCAAGTGCAATGCACATCGACCCGGTCGAGCATGAAGTACTTGCCCCTCAGCAACTCATCCTCCTCCAGCATATCCTACCACCCACAACGTCAGCAGGCCGTCCTCCCCCCAAACAAAACGACGATAGAAAGAAAGCAAGCAAGCGAAAAAAGAGAAACCCACCGCAAACGGCATCCCCCCCATAACCATCTGATCCCAGCCCACGCCCCTCACCCACTCCCTCTCCCCGCCCACCCCCGGATTCTTCTCTAAATACTCCCTCAACCGCCGGCTGATCTCCGCCGGCGACGCCGCGCCAAACAAGTCCTGCCGAGTGCAGAAACTCGCCGTACGGAATCAGATGGGCCGTGCCCGTTCCCACAGCCCCGGAGCACATACTCCGGCCGGAACTTCTACCGCCCCGACACCAACACCGAACACGAAACCCTTCCC